AGAGAGAGAGAGAGAGAGAGAGAGAGAGAGAGAGAGAGAGAGAGAGATCCACCATCAGAAACATATCACAGTGCAGCTGCACAAAGAGGAAACACTACAGCATATTGACCATATAATCATGAGTTATGTCCTTCACCAGTTCACCAGATCTAAACTCACGTATTGGAGGTTTTGGACTAACGTGCAAAACACTCCACCACCATCGAAACACCAAATGACTGAATATGTCGTGTAAGAATGGTAGTTAATCAATCCAGTAGAATCTATGCCGAGGAGCAATGAAGCTGTTCAGGAGGATTGTGGTGTTCTTTTGTCACATTTGTGTAAATACCACACAGTGAGTTCTGTCCTTAAGTTGGAGTCTTTTAATCAATTCCAGCTGTTTTTATTATTTATCATTTTTCTCTTTTGCAGAAATCCAAGTATTTTTTCATCTCAACATAGGACGAAGAGAAACATCTACTAGACCAGAGAAGATGTGCCATCATGTGACAAGAGAAGGAGTTTGAGAAGCTAGAGAGCCGAGTATGAAAAAGCCTTGATGCTGGACAACAGGACACTGATGTCAACTGTCACAAGGTGTGCATCCACCTGCACCACCACAAACCTCACAGGTGTGTTAAGATTACTGAGAAAATTATACACGTTGTCATCCATGTGGGTCTTACAAAGCTGGTGTGTTTGGGGCATAACACCACTTTTAAAAATAGCAAGAAAGATTCATTAACACAAAACTACAGATGCACTACAGCGCACGCACACACACACACACACACACACACAAAAACCTCACTACATGAAGTGATTCATTTAGTTTTAAACACATAGGGATGTGTTTTCCAGCGGCCTCGGGCACATTCCTAACACATGCTGTTGTAACACGCCGGCTGTCCTTCTAGCCGACTGACTACTAATAACCTATGAACACACATCATGTGTCGTCTCAGACTGCAGCAGACAGACTGCTTATTGTCGAGGTTAAGACCACAACATTCAGAGAGACAGAGCACTAATTATGACTAATTATATTCTAGACTAATTATGGAGAATAGATCAATTAAAATATGCAGTGGAAAGAAAAAGAATCTTCTGTTACTGATAACGACGTTTCTGCTCAGTCTCTGCTTAGCAGCCACAGCTCTGTTTCTCCTCAGAGGGTCAGTTTCTACGCTCAGGTCAAACCACAGTAGACATGATGCTGCAGCGTCCGAGCCAGTCAGACACGAGTTATACAAGAACCTTTGGTTTACGTTGGGTCGAGCCAGAGGGAGGTAGTTTACTGTACTTTGAGTTTGTTTTGGATCGAATACAAGCCAACCAGAGTTTATAAACAAGTCACATGACTCAAAGATGGTCTATTTATTGGTGCAAATTTAGCGGCATGTAAACCAGCCGATATGTGTACTGAGACCAGACATAAATATGTGTATAAATGTATGTTTATAAACAGTGTGAAAAATAGGGGGAATAATGAAAACTACTGAGCATTAGTACGCTTTTAAAAGACATTTGGTTTTCCTACCCCCCACCCTCCTCCCTGACACGTACCGCACAAGTGACGCAAATAAACACAAATGATGCCACCGTCAAACTTGCATTAGGCAAGGCAAAAATAGTTTCCTTCCCATTTGGTGTTACATTACCATTACAGGGTTCCTAAAAGTTCAGGTTTTGGGAAGCTCTGGGTTAGAATTATAATGCAGACTAACCGAGTCCATATACAGGAATTGTATTATAGGATGAATCGCTGGTTTAACAGCACGGAACTGACAGCGTTGTCATGAAATAGTATCAAACGTTTCTTAAATAGTTTGAAGACACAATAATGTACTTGAATCCACAGCAGCAACCAGAAAGATGATGAGGAGTATCCATTTCTGTGGAACATTTATTCATGAAGCTATAAATGTGTTGCAAAGTTAAGTAGACTGTTGAACAAACTAAATAAACATCAAGTCTCTCCTCCCCCTCCCCACTATCTTCTATTCATTATCATCTATTTTATTATCTTCATTCTTCATTATCCTTCTTCTCATTTAAACATTTATTTTCTCCTCTTTCTTTCTCACCTCCTCCTTTTCACTCTTGGTCTCTTCTCCTCTCCCACATGACTCATTTCTCTTCTCACACACGCACAAGCACACTCCTCGAGTGTTTCTGTTTTTCTCTCTGATTTGATGACAGACAGCAAATTACAGACCTCAGGGAGAAGCTGCATTCCTTCTTTCT